CGTCATTAACAATAAATTTTACTGTCATTAAGTTAATACTAAAATTCGTGTCCTAATAAAAAATCGTTTTAGAGTTTTAAAATAAATTTTATGCCTGCTTTCTGATTTATAGTCATTATTCTTCGAATGTTTTTAATGGCTCAAAAGTTATTTGTTAGTAGTTGTTTTCCTATTTATTATTCAGGGGAAGTTATTGTAAGTAGTTGTGCACAATTAACATGTCAGAGTGCTGTAACTCACTCTGAATAATATCTGCCCACCAGTGGCACAACGGTATGTCTGCGGACTTACAACGCTAGAATTCGGGTTTCGATACCCATGGTGGGCAGAGCACAGATAGCCCATTGTGTAGCTTTGTGCTTAATTACAAACAAACTAAATAATATCTAACTGTTTTGAAGAGGCTTACTCCGATATTGCATTAGTTACTTGCTGGATATGCTTTTTTCCTTGTAAAGCGTTAAAGAAATAATAGGATTAAGTATCGCTTATTAAGAAGTTAAAAGATCTTTTATATCAACATTTCATATATTAAGTTAAGTACATATTGTTTATTAACATATAACCAGATCAGTCTCTACATTTTGTACGTATTAATCAACCAATTCTGTAATGAACTAGGAAGAATATTACTGTACAGCAAATATGCACTACGTTGTGGAAGTCCTTGATTATTTATATCGACTCTTACTTTGTCTTCTACAATGAACTCTGAAGATCGGGAAAAAAATTAGCAAAGTTTACAATGAGTTTTAAACATTGTACGATGCGATTTGAAAATTTACAATGGACTTTTTCGTTAAATGAGTCAGTTGATATCCGTTTGACAATAGAATCTGCAAACAAATAGATTATAGCTAGCCATCTATCGAAATGTATACACAGACATGTTGAATTTGACCTACTAACCCTCCGAATGCACTTGAAGACAAATTTAGACTGGTAAGTCAATTCTCCAATGGTATATGAAGACGAGTTGATACAGATTAGTCAATTCTCTTGCTGTATCTAAGGGCAAGATTTTACTGGGTATCAAATTTCCAGGTGTGTCTAAAAACACGTTGACCCTGGTTTGCCAAGTTTTCAATTGACTTTTAAGTTGGATCAGTAGTAATTAGCCAATTTTAGGAGGAAACTGTTGGAATAAATTTTTAAACTAAATTGGTTCAATATCTGGATGATGCAACTTTTGAAGACAATTCACTGTCATATATGCGTTGAATTATATTTACCCTGGATTTATGAGTGTTAATATATTTCTTTTAAGAAGTTCAGTGTTAGGAACACTGGTTGGTGTTGAGAGAGGTGAGAAGGCGGCCGGCTTTTGGTCAGTTCCTAAGGGGTTAGAGGATTACAGCACTAAGTAGTTAGAAAATTATTGGATGGATCGGTCGCCTTTCTTGTTTAGTCACTGCAGAGATTAGATAATACATTTATGATTATGAAACGTTCGTTGTAATACTAATTACGTAAAATATATGCAAGTGCATAAAAGAAAAGGACCCGTTGGAGTGGTTTTTGGAAAAGGAATATAAAACACAGACGTTTAAGTTAACAGAAGAAAAAAATAAAGGGCCGTAATATGTGAGAGCAACACAATAAACCAAGAGAGAGGTGAAGGAAGAAATACTATGCTGCCAGTAATGAGCAAAAACCTAGTTCTAAATTTATGTGTTGTTGATTGTTGTAATAAACAGCAGTTTATTATGTATTTCGCTATGAATCAGTTCCTAATAAAAATACGTACAAACTTAATAAAGTTGAAAGGAAAGCGATGTTAGTAAAGCAAAATCATAAAGAAATGGTGAAGAAGTGGTCTACAACAATTTACCACGTGTGAATAAAATAAGTTAACATCGTTTGATAATTCTTTAAATGCATATCGTAATACAAAATATTTCATCATAGGAGGCCATGTTTGTACTGTCAAGTTTGACGTTTAATTATTCTAAGTTTTAATGTTGAGAAATATCTTAGAAGAAATAATAAAACAATTCAGAAATGAACAAAGAGTTTGTTGTTACGCACAAAGCTACACAATGGGTTATATATATATACTCTGCATGCCACGGTTATCGAAACCTGGTATTTAGTGTTATAGGCCTTCAGGTTTACCGCTGAATCATTGATAAACCAATTGTAGAGAATGATATCCTAATGAGACAACCACTATATTTATTAATAAATCCTAAGCACGAATACAAAATTAAAACCACAACTTCGTTGGATTTACTCCCCACCTCCTAACATTTAACTGAATCTCCACATACTGTACACTTCTAGGCCAATTACAACGCTTCTCGTGTTTGCTAGCCTGTTTTTACTGTTATACTTTACTAAATATATTTTGACAACTTGAAAATTAATTTTTAACTTCTCCCTGTAAACTGTATTAATATCGTCTTTAGGTTTCTTTTTTCTATAATTTCATTCTTTATATTCCAGTTTAACAGGAGGGATAAATATCTTTCTCGCTGTTAAGGACGAGACTGACTAGCTCTAGTTAACTTTACTAAACAAATTCGATTGTAATATTGTACCATTTGTAACCCTCTCCTACAATAATTGTTTTTATACTTATGCTAGTTTTACACTCCAACCGTACTGTTTGAAAGCAGTAGAGAAAGAACATGTCCGAGTACTTGGTTCCTCCTCTTTCAATACTGGAAAAATGAGTAGGAGAAACGTAACTGCTGTTTCTTACTGAAATGCTTTCACAAGAACGAGGAAAACCGAGCGTGGCTCAGCGGTTAACGTACTGGGCTTTCAACTGAAGAGTCTATAGTTTGAGAAGTGATGTAACTAAATGCTATCAGCTGTGGACGACTTATAAAATGACAGTCAATTCTGTCATTATTCCGGTTAAAAGAGGCGGACAAAACATTTGTGAGGGCAGTTTGTGCTACTAACTGGCTGTCTTCCTTCTGATTGGTAAATCAGACAGCTTAAACACTAGAGGTCTCAGATCAACTGTGAAATAATTGTTAATGCATTTGTACACACAATTAGTGAAGGTTATGTATAACAGGATGGAAAACCTCAAATTATTTCTCTTTAACCTGAATATATCAGTTGTTTAACATAATATTGTACTTGCTGTTACTTTTGTCTTATTTAGCATTGTGTTAAAAACATATACCTATGTTCACAACCATCCAAACCAATTTCAATAAGAATGTAAACGATCACTGCAAATTCTCGTTACCTTAAAACGTTATTTACTAACGCACTCCTATTTATTATAAACAAATCTATTGAAAATTATCGTTTCAAGAAATATATGTGATAGTTTGAACAAATGAGTTTTAAACAGAGGGAGCCAGTATTAAACCTATCACGACATTTAATTGCATAAATTAATGTTGTATGATGTACATGGTCCGTTAAGGGGGAGATGAAATTGAATTAATTGTTTTTGTTTAAACTCTGATGCACACTGGGAATGTTTTGAGTCATTAATATATGGCATGTAACTGCATAAATAACTAACTGAAAGTCAGGGGTTAAGAAAATCAGAATCTTGTATTTTAAAATATGCACTTTGGAGACAACTTCACAATCATAAATTGAGTTCATATGAAAAACCTCCAATCATAAACTTAAACTGGAGTATCTTGATAAAAATAGATATACAAAAATTAAAATAATTTAATAGATAGTTTTGTAACTAATGATAAAGTTTAATAAACGTATGAAACAAATTAACGGTTAATTCTATGTTCGCTAAGATATCAATATTATTTGATGTAATTGTTTCAATATGGTTGGATGTTTTAAGACGTTGAGATACAAGAACGTAAGCCACGCGATGAAGTTCCTTGTAAATGCTCGTAAAATCCTATATATTTCAATTTACTTATTTCTTTAAGCCTTGCAAAAGATCGTGGTGAAAAATACTGATCTTGTAATTTCACTTTTCAGTTAAAGAAAGAATGACCGTTTTACAGATTCCCAGAAAAACATTGGTTTTGTCTGATGCTAAAGATATATAAAATAACTATGGAAAATTATTTAAAAAATGATAAAGAGATAGACAGAAACCTCAAATGTCCAATGTAATAAAAGGAAATAAATAGTTTTCAATCTTCGTTTGCATTTTAAGATGTTATGAATGTTTCGTTTTCTCACTAACAGATGGAAGCACTACCAATATTGATTAAGGTGTATGAGAGGATTTAAAAAATGTTAGAAACTACAATATATTCGACAATGAATATTTTAAAGTATTTACTAAAACTGCGCTCTTGCATTCGTGGAGGTACTTTTGTGCAAAATGTTTAATTTTTTAAACTGTATTTAGAATGTTCTGATAGTTTTATGGATTTTGTTACCCTCTGTGAGAAGTTGCTTCAATTATAAATTACAGTCTACTTGTGAAATTTGCCAGCTTACTAAATCGTATTTTTGCATCTCCTATTTCTATATATATATATATTACGTTTAAGAGCTCAGCAGTAGCAACAGTTATTGTATGTTACAGAATTATCCTTTCTTCTCGTTACAACACAAATGCTTTTAAAGTTTCTGTATTGCATTCATAAGTATGCGTAGAGTGCTATGTAAAAAATTGAATACTGTCAAGGCAAATAGAGCAGGATGTGCTTGCCTGAAGTATATACTTATTCTTGATTAACGTTTGAAATCTGATTATAAGAAGATGACTTTAACATACGTTTACAGTTTTTCCAAAAATAATGGATAAAAAGCTTTATTTTACTAAGGCACACTTCACTTTCCACGAACTAAAAGCTTTACTTTCCGATAAAAATAAAACGCGTGCGCTAGTAAAATACTGCCATGTGTAAATACAAACGACTATGCGAGCACAAAGTAGGAGTATCAAATAGAACGTTTTCTGGCTATTCGGTTGCCATGTAACCAAACATTTTATGTTTGTTGTTAAGTGCAAAGTTACACAATGAGCTATTTGTACTGTGTCAACGCGAGTATCAAAACTTGACTTTTAGTGGTAAAAGCCTTCAAACTTTGCGCTGAGCCACCAGGGGATTGTAACCAAGCAGCTTAGCAGTATTGACAAATATTACATTTAAGAAAAATGTAATGCAGTTCAATGAGTTTGTACTTTACTCGTTCGAAGAGACTATGTTGTTTACTAGTTTCTAACCCGACAGTAAGAATGTCATTCGTGTTTGTTTAATTTTGCGCAAAGCTACTTGAGGGCTATCTGGCTAGGGATCCTTAATTTGAAATGACAAACTAGAGAGAAGGAAACTAGTCAACACCACCCACCGCCATCTCTTGGTCTACCTTTTATCCACGAATATTGAGATTAAGCAACACGTTATAGCGTTCCCAAGGCTGAAAGAATGTGCATATTTGATGCGCTTAAAAACTATACAATAGGCTATTTGTGCTGTGCCCACCGCGTGCCCAATTTTTAACGTGATAATCCCTCACACATACCGCTGAGCCATCGGGGAGCTGAAGAAGGAAAACTGACTTTTGAAAGCTCTCTGTTGCCAGATTTCCTGGTTTATAATTCGTCTAATATCTTATTCTACTTAGCTTATATTATGACTATAATTCATTCTCTTTACGTCATCATATTGCAATTGCCAATATATATATATATACTAAACCAAAATTGGCGATATCTAATCTTTATTAATCTAATTAGAAAACAAATTCAACAGTTGAATTGAACTAGTAATATTTTTAAAGACTGTCAACAATGGCCTTATTCATAACACACCACAGAATCCTTTCATTTGTGGCGCATCAATAGTTATTACATTTCTATTTCAATCTAATGGAAGTTAACACAACGTTTTTTTGAAAACGTATAACCTTATACTGTCAATGTTGGCCATAATTTGTTTTTTAAATTAGGATTATTGATTTCCATTTGGTCTAGCATTTTATAAACCAACCTATAAAACACGTTGACTGGTATAAATTTAAAAATTAATGTTCTTCCTTATCGGAAATTGAATTTCTGTAGGGATCTGTTTCCCCTTTTTTTTACAGTTGAAATGTTTATTTCTCTATAACATTCCTTTGCTGTATACCCAGTGAATTTCACATTTACAACATTCGCATATTTCTAACTTATATATATTTTAAATAAATGTTGTTGTTTTTTGTAATTTTCCACCTGCTCTAACAATGTTTAAGGATGAAGAAAAAAAAATGATGATGAGACATAATTAACATAACATGTCTAGACAAGTGTAAATTTAACATCGGGAATTGCAAATCGCGTGACCGTTAGGAGATGTCGCGTGCGTTCGTTCGTCCATATGTTCAGACCCAGAAAGTCCACAAATTTGTTTCAAAGTTTTCCTCTTGAGACTTTTATATTGTTCAGATCAGTGGAATTAGAGGATAAAAAGTTTATAAAAACACAACATGCGCATCAGTATGAGAAAAACTGTCTAAGAATAAGAAGTAATTAAGACGCCACCTAGTTGGCGGAAAGCATACGTTTGTATTGCAAAGAAGCAAAACCTAAGAAGAAAAATTTTATATGTGAAAGCCCTGATACTAATTTCTTGGAAAAGGAAGCTAATATAAACTTTTTAAAAAGAAAAACATAAATTTTCGAGAAAGTGTTTCTAGTTTCGTGTAGATTAAAAAAGATATTCCAAGTAGCGTTTTCTATTATTACCGACTTCTATCAGTATATTCTCATATGCGTAGTTGATGTACAAAAAAGGTCAGTCGCAGTTTGCTAGAAAAATGAGCTTATTAAAAGGCGCAATCTTGGTCGTGATCTAAATAAGCAATAAAATCATAAGTAAGTCAAAGAATGCCTTCAATAAATTAAGAATATGCTGCTGAGCAGAAAAATTGGATGGAGGAAATATAAGAATACACCTAACTGGTAGTACGTTTAGTTGTGGTTTCAAATCAATAAAACAGCTATTTGAATATGTTGAAATACACGCTGTATTTAAACATCCAGGCCTAAGATTATTTCCACTGTCAATTCAACATAGTTAGGATGGTTAAGTGCGCAGATCATTATGACAGTTTCCGGTTATTGAACCCACAATTATTCTTATACAGCGACGAGTGGTTAAAGAAGAAGATACAGTAGGGTGTAGCACTAAATAATTGTCCCCACATTATCCTAACTAGCAGATCGAGAGGTAAGAGAGAGCTTAAGCCCCAGCTACAATTGGATGAAACGGTGTAACTTCCTCCGTACATTGTTCTCACTATCAGTGAAGTGTAATTAACCTCGCAGACCTGGTGAGGTTTAGTACTGCAAAGATCAGTTAGCGTTTTTTGTCTTTTGCAATGTCAATTATTCTCAAAGCTATTTAGAAGTTAAATGATGTTATGTTGAATATAAATACATGTTATATACGCATATAACAAGTAGCGCCTCCTATATCGTGCACGCCTTCACGCAACAGAGCAGTAACAAATGTGTCTTGATGTGGAAAGAGGACTTTTAGAGTACATCGTCTATTATATCTAACTTCTGTCTGCAAGTCTCACGTGTAGAGGAAATATCACATTTAAATTCAAGAGCAGATGATAACAGCATAATAAAATTAGGTTTTCTATACTAGTAGGTAGAGCATATCGGAATGCAGCTGGAATTTTCAACATGAATGACATTTATACGTCCCTAACATTGAATTTCTGACAGAGGGCAGTAAACCAGCAGCATCGACCACCTTTAGAGCTTTGTCAGGATTACATGTTACTGCTCGCAGCTGATAGTGTTCTGTGGTACCTTGGATCACTTCCCGCAGCTGATAGTGTTCTGTGGTACCTTGGATCACTTCCCGCAGCTGATAGTGTTCAGTGGTACCTTGGATCACTTCCCGCAGTTGAGAGTGTTCAGTGGTACCTTGGATCACTTCCCGCAGCTGATAGTGTTCAGTGGTACCTTGGATCAATTCCCGCAGTTGAGAGTGTTCAGTGGTACCTTGGATCAATTCCCGCAGTTGATAGTGTTCAGTGGTACCTTGGATCACTTCCCGCAGCTGATAGTGTTCAGTGGTACCTTGGATCACTTTCCGCAGTTGATAGTGTTCAGTGGTACCTTGGATCCTTCGACTTGCAACCCGGCATCCTAACCATAAGTTTAGAATTGACTCTTTAATTTCAGGAGTTTAATACAATTCCCAATGTCTGTTGTGTATCAGGAACGTTCCGTTGATCTCGTTTTAACTTTTAAATAAGCATGAAATCATTAATCATCTTTTCTGTGCATTTTGTCATTAACCCTACCTATTTCATTGTTTACGGTGCTGATGAATTAGAACATAGTCATGTGATTATTATTATAATAAAGTTGTATCGTGTACTAAAATTGAAACGATTACCAAGCACGTTGTTTACCTTTCAAAAACATTCAGTCTGTTACTCCAATTTCAGATTAAAAGTGTTTGTTTAATAATTTTCACGCAAAGCTTCACATAGGCCCATGTACACATAGTCGTCCCTAATTCTCAAGGGTTAGATTATACCAAAGGCATATATTCTTGATCTACTTGGAGCTGGCCGAATAGTGGAGTTTAACAATCTTTCTTAGAGAGCACCCACGGCCCCAAATTGCGGATCGTGCCTTTTTTGACCACAGATTGAAAGGAATTATTTGTGAATACCTAAACTTCAAAAGTAGATGAAACTTTTACATTCTTTACCAAACAGAACTTATTTCAGGATTATTTTATTCAGCTTTATAAAATTATGCAATTTTTATAGACCAGTATAGATGTTAAAAGGTTTGCTATAATATCACACAAAATGGTTCATGTAATAATAAGTATAAAAAAATATCATTTGATAAAAATAGGTTTATATAAGGTATTATTTTTTTTGGGGGGGGAATAACTACAAATTATATTTTTTTATATATAACACGACTGGATTGAATATTACAAATTGTAAATTAGGTGTAGAAAGCAAAGTAGTTTTTTTTTTTTAAACAAATAACATTCTCAAATACTTTGTATACGTAGATAATACATGTTAGACAACGTAATACCAAACACCCCATGACATTTTTAAAACCAGTCGTGTCTTGCTATCGATAATTATTATGTAATTTCTGTCAGGCGTGATAAGAGTTTGTTTTCTTATCTAATTAATACTAACTAATCTGGCATTATTTACTTTAGAGTAAAAACTTCACAAAAGATGGCGCTACTAATAATGACTTCTCAGAATATTTTATTTGACTTACTATTCAAATATGAAGTATAAAGAATCTAAGTTTCAAATGGATAGCAACTGTCTGTTGTAGAAACCTACAGACCTGAAGACGAAAGGCGGAAGACTTTCGAAACGTCGTCCTCTACATTTGTAGGTTTCTACAACAGACAGTTGCTATCCATTTGAAACTTAGATTCATTATGAATTATGCAACTAGTTGTTGGAAGGTAATTACCCTTAATATTTAGATATAACCTTAACGTAGAATTAAACCACCTTAAAATTCTACAATGTAAACTTCCCAACCTCCACCGTTTTATTTAATATTATAAGATACGAAAAGCAAAAGACATTCTTATAGTAGAAATAAACCACCCTGTATTTCTACAAAAGAATTCAACCATCATCCTTTAATTTAATAATTATATTAATTATGACTTAAGGATGACAACAAGGAATGGTAATGGATGAATTATTTGGAATTTTAGTCTCATTGTAATTTTGTTGCTTTTGAATTTACTGTTACGACATCGGAGATCACGTGACGCTAGTATCACGCCACAAGCTTCTCGAACGTTCACGTCCCTTCCTGAAATATCGGGAGTTTACTAGATCTCGGTATTCTTTTATATGTAAGACGGTCACAACGTGACGGCAATAGGGTAATGAGTAATTGAATGTATGCGGACAGAGAATATTGTTGGGCACGTGAGACGTTCGTTGTGAGTTATAGCGTTGGTTATACCGCGACTGTTGAAATTAAGTGTATTGCAAAGTTGTATTCAGAAAGAATAAACCAGTTTTATTTAAGAAAGGACTTGTATCATTAGAGTTTCTTCGGAAATAATTTTTACGGAAAATTAACTAACG